ATGGCCATATCATGTTGAAACACCAGATCTTGTCTGATCCCTGAAGTTAAGCAACATTGAGCCTGGTCAGTACCTAAATAGGTGACAACTTAGTAATGCCATGTGATGTAAGTTAGGATGTGTGTGGTATAATGGATAATGGCTCAGAATGAGAAATCAGAGCTGACTTCAAATTCCATTCGACTTCACTACATTCATTTATGCTCAAATATGAGGTATGAATCCATCCCTTGTTTTTCCAGCTATGGGTAAATAGCAAGACAGACTGAGTACTACCACTCTTGGAGAAGGAAAACTGTAAATCCAAACCAGCCTGGAGAGGATTGGCAAATGGTGGATGAACTTCTTATAACTTTTGAAATTCAACTAGGAAACCAATTGTTATAAGCATCTTGTGTCATATATTATCTTTGATGCATATGAAAATTGCTAGTGCCCCTTTTTTATTTATTTTATTCCTCTTATTATGTTTGGTCTCCTGAGCCTAACTACAGAAATTGTTAGTTGAGTGCAATGGTTCCCAAATGGTGCAGCATTCTTCATATGTGCAGCAGAAGAGTTGAGGTGGAATGATTAAAAGACAATCAAATATGTAGAAACAGTTTCAAAACATTCACATGCCAAAAATAAATAAGATTTAAAAATTTAAAATATTATTATAGATTACCTGTAGTTGCATGCATGAGTCCCAGTATAGATAGTTATAAATAATTATTGACTGATTTTATCATTGTGATATTCTTGTATTATATCAAGTATTAAGAGTATGGTAACTAGGGTCTACCAATTGGAGGAGAGAGTTATCAATGATAATGTTCTGACTTTGAATCTGAAGTTTTCTCCCTTTAACCCTCTCACGTTTTTTTTAAATGTATTTTTTATCACATAAAATTTGGTGAGGTACAAGCAAATTTTCATTTCAAAAATTCATGCACAGAGAAAAAAAATGTTTAGAAACCAATGTTCTAGAGTAAATCTTACAAAAGTATATTTTTTGTTCTCTCTGGTGTTCTGGACTTTATTTATAGCTCCATTTGCTTTTTTTTGTTTTTTTCATTGACATTTCTGTTGATTTCAAAGCATAAAATGAATAAACAAAGAATTGATGTTTTTTTCACTTGTCTGAATTATTTTAGGCCATTCTTATCAAATGATATTTTTTATTGATGCTCTATAAAATGGAGATGTGGTGGTCTGTAGCCAAACAGCAAATTTCTGAGTTTCTTGGAATAATTTATAAAATTTGTCATTTTTCTAGTTAATAGCACCAAAACAATAAATTCTGCCATTTCTTTCTTCTAATTGATACCATTTTCCATGATTACCTTTGATTACTCATTGAATCAATTCAGGTTTAAATTTAGATTTAGACTTATTAAATCAAAACTTTGGGTGAGATTTTTAGGGTTCAATTCTATCTGATCAGTTTAGGCAGAAGGATAAATAAAGTTTGAGAATTACTGTCAGTAGCAGGACCTCCTTTATTCTTATGTGAAAGTCTTATCAATTATTATAGTCTTAAGCTCAAGGATTGCTATATCAGTCTATATAGCAATTTTTAAATAATATGTGTGTGTGTGTATGTATGTGTGTATACGTATATATATATATAGAGAGAGAGAATTAATTCTTAGTCTATTGTATTATTTTAAAATGAAAAACAAATTTAAGTAAAGTTTCATAAACAAATTAGCAAAAAAAAGACAGTTTACCCTAACAACACACAAGCCTCTAGTGCCCCATTGGCAGGCCACCAATGGCAATGCCAGCAGTCCTCTGGTGGCAGCCACCAGTGTGCCATCGACACGCCACCAGGTTTTTTGCTTTTTTTTTTTGTTTCAAATTTTCCGAGCCCTCTTTTTTTTCTCTGAGTATAAGGGTTCTTTTGTTTCCATTTTCTCTGAAGCTTTGTCATTGCTCCCATGTTTGGTCCATGGTATTCTCAGCATATTTCTGTAGAACCATATTTCTGTTGCTTCAAGTCTTTTCTTCATCTGTGAGAAGATTGTCCAGCATTCACTACCATATAGGAAGTCTGATATTATATAACAGTTCAGTAATACTTTTTCTAATTAAAAGAACTTTTTTACTATTTAGTTCCCTAAAAGCAATAAAATCTTTAATAATGTTTGCATATTTGTCAGTGTCAAGAATATATTTCTCAATTTGAAAACATTCGTTTCTGACCTATAAAATGAATATGGAAACAAATCTTTTGATACACTTTTAACAAAGTCTTTTGCAAAAGAAATTGTATAGGTGATAAATCTGAATTCTATTTATTTTGGTCTTCGATTTCTTATGGCCTGTGAGGGGCATTTTTGCTTTCTCTACTGACATTTTCTGTAGACATGAGTTTTAGATGGAATATTAAGAAGAATTTACTTGTATTGCAAACATTAATCTGATTTTCTGGGCTGTTTCTTCTTTTACTGCAGTCTTCAGAATAACTGTTGCATTCACTTCATATGTATGATCATTGTCTGATGCAATGATTTTAAGAATAAAACGAATCTTCACAGAAAATTAAGGCTGAGCAAAGCAGTGTATTTCACTCTGAATCTGTAATGTATGATAAAGGAAATAAAAAGAGAGAGTTCTTTGATATTTTTTAAACACTGATTCTATTGACAATACATCAGTTATTTGATTCCAGTCATTCTGGGAGAAATCATGTAAACTAAGATTTACATAACATATCCAAATTTACATAATATCTCCAATATTAGATGTGAAGTTCATATGGTTTCTTTACAGAGTTACAGAGTTTGATCTTCAGAGCTTTATCATTCAATTTTGCTGAGCTAAGATATTTATTTTGGTTTTGTTCTAAACAATGTATAAATTATATAGAGAGTTGATTTCAAGTCTGTATTAACATCATGTCATGTCACAAGCCCTGTAACCCATTGGAGACATCAAGGTATCACATGTGCTGCAGCTAGTGCATTAGGAGTGTGTCTTAGGCAAGATAATCTGACAGAGCTCATCCCTCTTCTGCTGGTTTTTGAATTCAGTCTTTTCCTTCCTCTAAAATGGTTGCCATCTCAAGGCAAGAAAGCCCAGTCAGTTGGATATGAGAAGAGATGAATTAATATCTTTCTCAAGAGTATTCATGTAGGTTAACATTTATGTACATTAACATTTATACAGACATTGTTCACAAAAAATTATTTCAAGAACTTATAACAAATAATAGAGAATTCTTAGAAAGAGAAGCCAACAAGTAAAAAAAAAATGAAATGGGTTTGTGCAAGAAATGTTTGTTATAATTCTACAAAATTATTTTTATATCCTCAATACTGTCATATAAAAATTATTAGAATGTTTTCGTGGAATTCTAAGAAATTCTAAGAATTTTGAATTATTGCCATTTCAAGTCTATATTTGTACTTTAGCATGTAAACTTTAAAAAAAAATTGAATAATTATTTATCATATCTTAATTCTGTATACTTTCACTTTGTTGTTTATATTTTACTTATTTATTCATTTTATAAAATCTTTAAATATTTACTTGTTTTTTTTCCTTCAGATTTTTTAAAATTTGTTTTTATATGAACTTACTTATAATGACATAACCAAGATGTTGATATTTCCCAGTACTTCAAATAAAATGTTAGGAAGGAAACCGCCACCAATATTGGAAAGAGCACTAAGAGCTACTGGATTTGAAAAACCTTTTTTTCTGAAAAATTGTTTTATGAGAAAGATTTTATAAATTTCAACTGCAAGCAGTACTGTCAGCTCGGTCAATGAATTCCAAATGTTTCTCTGTATGGAAACGTCTATTATTAGTATTACCATTATATATAAAATATTTGTTATTTATATTTACTCAGCTTCAGGTCAAATGAGAGGAAATGCATTAGAAGATTGTCCCATTTTTCCAAGTAGGGAGTTCCTTCCGACCTTGAAAATCAGAATTGGATTTTACCTGAGTACAAACACCAACCACTAACACTAGTGGAAAGTATACAACTACCTCTTCAATCAAGTAGACATTAAAAGTTATTTATTTATTTTGTCATTAACTTAATCTGAAAAAAGATCATATTTTTTAAGAATGGTATCTTTGTACTGAACTCACAGCCAATGGTTGCATTTGCAATATCAAAATTACTCTTTTGTAGATTGAATGATTTTGTCATTTGTATAAGTGAGTTGTTCTAAGCAGGAGTGTGAATCAAATGATAGACTAACCTATCTTTTTCTATTGAGGAAAAATAAATAATTAGATAACAAAATTTCATAGTTTAAGTGGAGATGTTAGAAGTATAGAGTTGTAGTAGAGTTTAGAAGGAACCATAAATCCAATCCTAAATGGGAAACAAGGGATAAACCTGTACTCCAGTTCAAAAGACCAGGGAGGAGTGTAAACCAGATGCTAGGTGAACCTATCTATTCCAATGTCAAAGTCAGAATGAAAAAACAATTCATGTAATTATAATGATCTGGTTTTATATATATTATTATTTAAATCATTATGATTGTCTTCATTGTTATACACATGTTTTGACTAATTTATCTTCTGGGCATGTACAAGTCACATTCAGTAATTTTTCCAGAATTCAAAGCCAAACCTGATCTGTGGGAGTGGAGTTCCCTGCTTAGAGGTTATCTTGTATCAGTCAATCCTCTTGTCTGATTTGCCTTTTGTGTAACTAACTGGCCGTTTCAATGAAAAAGGTCCATGTTTCATACTGATGTTATCCTTTTATTTAGTAAATACATAATGAAAACTAGAAAAAAATAACAAATATATACCTGAAAAGGAGAAATGGATAAACAAAATGCATTTCAAAGAAGGAAACAAACAAGGAAAATGCTTTTCAGATAGAAACAATAACAATTTGAAACAAACTCAAAGAAATAATAAAGTGGCATTGTCTTAGTGGAGAATTTCAGACATAGCAGTAAGGAGCAGGTAATTACCATGTTGCCTCTTTGACCAGCTGAAGCTAAAGAACATGTGGTAGTTTCCTTTTCCCTAAGAGGTCACATGGTAACCAACTTACAGAAATTACAGCTAAGTACATGTATATTTCTTATATTTTTCGGAATTTTTTATATTTTTACGGAACATTAAAAATTATTCTCATAATTTTAACC